AATCGGCCTTGGAGATGGTGGTGGTGCACTTGCGCGACATGTTGTTGTTATTGTTCGTGTTGGTCGTGGTGATCATGGCCTCGACATCCGTGTCAAAGGGGTTGTCATTGCGAAGGGAGTGTGGCGTTGAAGGGATGCTGTCGCGGCGGACCTCGATGATCTTCTCCTTCGTAGACGAGGCAGGCGAGGAGCCATGCGTCGCCTCAGTCGTCTTGACGGTGGCAGCCTTTGGGGGCAGGGCGAGGTCCTGAACAGGCTCGTAGCTGTGGCTCAGGGCCGCCTTGTCGTCAGTGGGATAGGCCATTGTACTGGTACGGCTGAAGGACGCGGTGTTGGTGGTGATGATGATGTTGTTGACGAGTGTGGTTTTGGGGCAGACACGAAGTGTTGAGATGACGGTCGGCTGAGTCGTGGGTTTAAGGGTCTCCAAAGGGGGCGGAGAGTGGAATGCTGGGTGACGCGAGCGAGGAGGTCGGCGAGTCCGCTTCCGTGTAGTGGGCGTGGGAGGTGCAACGGGATCGTCTGGGCACTCCTTTTGGGGACGACTGTGTCAGGGACAGCGACTTTGGGAGGGCTAGAGGGACGGCACTGGTCAGCTTTGTGTTCACTAGTGCCGGTCACGGCAGAGGCAGGTGAAAGGGGAGGTGTCTTACCTCGTGTCTCGATGCAGAGCGAGAAAGACAGGTAGGGAGAGGCTGGTGGACCAGACGCAATGAAGAGACTGAGGAATCCGGGACAAATCGATGAGACTTCCAGTCCTGAAAAGGAAGAAAGAAATGCTACCGTCGAAGGATCGGTTTGTCGGATGCAGTGGTCAGGAGAGGAAAAATTGCGAGGAGAAACGTGGGAACGCGAATGCGAGGTCGATTGGTTGATCGCGAGAGTTGCGAATGCCAAGTCCGAGCGTCTATACGGGGGGGGGCAGAGCGGGCTGTGCCTTGGTAGTGAGGGAGGCAGGATAAGACCTTGACGTCCTCAACAGTTTCCACAAACACAAATGTGCGAGGAAGATGGCCGGCTTGGAAGGAGTGTCGGGTGTATAAATGCGAGCTGGACGGCCAGGCAGATGGACGAGAAGAGAGAGGGGGAAAGGCTGCGTAGTCTGGGAGGGCTCGAGGTATCACGATGGTTTTAATGGGAGGAGGTCGCCAGGCAAGTCAAGTGCAAGTGCAAGGGGGGAGATTGCCGT